GGTATTCAAGTACTGCCAGTATTTGAATACCTTCAGTAATCGAAACAAGCCCTGACGATGACCCATATGTTTGGGTTGAAATGTCGTCACCAATAAAAATTGTGTAATGACAGCGTCCTGAATATTTATTTATTTGTTATTATTTTTTCGATAATTCTATTCTTTCCAACGATATATTATACGCATACATCCTTACTGTTATTTCCGGAGATTCATTTTCAGCCTGGATAAGCATTTTTATTTTTTTCTTCAGTTTCAAATTATTTTCCTCATATTCAGACATTTTTATAGTTAATGTCAATAAAAGAGAGATAACTTTTTTAAAGAAACCATGTCAAAGATAGTTTAGAGGAAGATGTATATGAAAATTGGGCATTTAAGCCCTGTAAAGTGACATCAAAGGAAATAAGATCTAAATGATATTATAGACCACTTAATTATAATATGATACACCGAGCTTAATCAAAATCGTTGGAGCCGTTTTTGAGAAAATTGTAAAGATATGTTTCACTGTTTATATAAAGTTGCACTTCCGGTTAGCCGATGTTAAGGGAAAAGTTGCTGTAACATCTCAGTCATATCCCTACCTATCTTAAATATGTAACATCGGTTTCGTAAGACTTTTCGATTTTGAGCCAGACTGTTCACATACACACAAGCCATTTTGCGGGACTCGGGAGACCTCACAACGTGTATTTCCATTGAAAGCTCAGATTCGAATATTTTTAAGATCGCAATACTTTTCCTTACTATATATTGCATATATAGTAAGTGAAAATAAAAATGAGAAAATATGTTACTGACAAGGGAGCACACAAAAAAACAACAAAGCACTTCTGATCATGGTAAAGATAATCCCGAAACGTGTACTTGTAAGGATATGTAACAAACATAATGATTATATGTCGCAAAAAGTTTTTTTTTTTTTTTTTGCCAAGCTCATGAATCAGCCAAACTATCAACTGTTTTAATCAGAAAAAACAGATTAAAACTACATTTGAAAATTAACTTTTTGAATGTCTACTCAATTTCTGCATTGTCATTTGAATGTAGTCCTTTCTATCAGTTTTTTTAAATATTCCTATCGTCAGATTAAATAAAACTGGACTGTTGAGTGGGAAATTTTAACAACGAATTAGTTTTGTTTGTTATATGATAATAAAAACATCATATTGGGCATACTAAATTTAAATTACGGTTACATATGTGGACATGGATTTTTTTTCTGCTAACAACAAACTGACCTTACTCTACTTTTTGCCATATTTTCAAGCCACGTGTTCTCAGTCACACAGAACAGTGGCCCAAATCGCAAATTGGGCACGAACAAATTATAATCGTGGATTTAATCAATTTTTTCACCGAAGAGTTAAATATAGAAAAAAAGAAATACAGATAAAAAGAAAAGTAAAATTTGAAAAAAAAATTACAATTGAGTAAAATGATAAAAATATAATAATTTAGCTATAAGAATACAATAATTTATATTTAAAAAAAATTAAGAGGAGTATAGTAAAATCTGAAATATACACACATCATCATATACGTTTAATCATCGAAATTGTTGAGGAGGTTTAGATTTCGTACTTATCTATGTATAATAATTTGATGACAAAAGTAACATAATTAATTAATCTGGAAACTTGTTTTCATCGAGGAGAAATTATTCCCCTTTTTTTTCGATTACATACGAAATATATATAAAGAGAAAGTATTGTGATCGTGAAAAAAATAACTAAGTTTTACAAAATGCTATCTCAACAACGAAAAGTAAAAGCATACGACAAAAAAAAAATATATATATATTTTAAAATCAAATTGACTCCGATTTCTGCTATTGTGTTTATTTTTACACCGTGTTAATACCTAATTTTTTTTTGGATTAAAACTGTTTATTTTTTTAAAAATAATTGTTTTATTGTTTGTAACAAAACCAAATATTAAAAAAAAAAATATTGGTAGCGGAAGCTTCATGAAGAAGGTAAACAAAAATAAATGAGTATTACGTCTGAGACATGAAGAAAGAAATGACATTGCCTGGCTGTCTATTTAGAGCCAGTCCATGTAACGACCATTACACTCCATTGCGATAATTAATTTTTTATGACTTTTTCATGTACTGCGAAAGCTGGTAACTGGGTTATCAAATTTCATAATATATTTTCGCTTACGCATGGGGAAATAATTTTTCTATCACACGCTGATGATATACTTTTTGACTTAATTAGATATTGCTCAAGGTTCAAGTTGGGGATTGGCAGAAAATTGGATGTATCAATTTATTGCATTCTGTCAATCAGTTTCGTTTAGTGTGCATAATATATTTTCCTTGACAGGCCTATATTTCAAAAACTGGTCTCAAGTAGGAGGAAAGTAAGGGTTGAAGCAAAATATAAATCAGGTAACAACGTTGTCAAAATCCATCCAATTCTGTAGCTGAGGATTGCGCAAATCTATTCACCAAAATATTTTAAAAAAATCATTAGATTTAGCCCATAATTGAGGAATAGTGTAGATATTATGTACCTAATATCAATTTCATCAAGTTACACTCAACAATCCTAATTAATGTAAATGCTAAGAATATAATAGGTATGAAATGCAGAAGACAGTGGACATATGGAAGGGAATATTTTTTAAGTTTTTAAACGTAATACGATTTATCAGACTTGTTGGATTTTTCTTCGAGATCACAGAGCCGATTGTTATGAAATTAGGTATCAATATCATACGTCACCCGAAGATGATTCGCGGAACTCGAAATTACCATCTGCCCTTTTTCTGCAAAATGGAAGTCGAAAAACACTAGTCACTAAAGAATATTGCGGCTTAACGGGTGTAACGATTTCAATGAAACTTGGCTAAAATCTTCAAGAAACCCTTTAAGTTTATGTATATAAACATTGTTTCCTGCTGAGAAAAAAATTACAAGGAAAACAAAATTAGATTAGCTAATAACTGAAAAAGTATTCGGGGAGATAAAAAGTCAGAACGCAGTCATTTTAAAATAACCAGTACTTGAACACATTTAGTGCTGGTAAAATGCCCTGATGATGACCCACAAGCTTGGATTGAAACGTCGGCAAATAAAAATCTTCAAGTGACTGACTCCTGACTATTTATTACCCATGATATGTAAAACAATCGACTAACTTTCTTCAATAAATAAATAAAATAAATGATATTCATGAATGAAAGATATTAATTTATTTTTTGTATAAACGTATTTGAACGTTTACGACATTATTTGCCAAGAAAAAAAAATAATACAAAAAAGAATAATGAAACTGAACGTTTTGGTGTAGATTTATAGCGTTCTTAATTTTTAACTCATGTTTTACTGCAAAGTCGATCTTTTTTTATTTTTTATTACTGAAAAACTTTATACCAGCTAAAGCAATTGAGATTGTTGTATATATTTCTTGATAGTAACAAAAAATGAAAAATAAAATAACAACAACTAAAGTGAGTACTTTAGACAACACGATAGACGTAAAAACATCAAAAAGCGCGATTAATAATACGAAATATAAATTATAAATAATAGCTCATTATAAAGAGGATGTAATTCTAAACGTTTCCCTCACTTACAGTACGCAGGTCCGATTTTTATTTTCTGAGATATTTTAATCCATATCTTTAATAAAACTGGCCATTATTTGGTTTTAGCCATCATTTTTCCTTTTTGGATCCCTAATACGGCGTCGCGTTAAGATACAATTTTGAGTAATAGCCCAATACAAAGTTTACAGCCTAAAAAGTTTACACTTCAAAAATTCTAATGCAGACCAATATTACCAAAGAGCTTCCTTTTATTTTCCTCGAAGTGGTAAGGAAAATAGTTCTCTATATAATATATATAACTATTATGAAATAATGAACCATTGTGTAATAACTTGCAGGGTTAATAATTCTATTTTTTTTCTAGTGTTTTCAAATAAAATTATAATTTTAGATAAATATAAACGGATAATGTGTAGCCATATTTTTATTTTATGAGTTTCTATTACATGCAGATAAATAAGGGATAAAAATATATCTCAGACAGTTCTTTCAGACAGTGGACTTTCCGAACCATGTAGATATAAATTATTAAAACAGTACATTTGTTTTTGTTTTGTTGTTTTTGTTGTTTTGGGTTTAGGGGCAAAAAACTGCTGATGGTTATCATTGCCCTCAAATAGTACTGATTGATTTATTTTTCAATCTTAAAACTACTATTACAAAAATAAATAAGTTTTAAAAAGGAATAAAGAAAATATATACATAAATTACTATCGAGGAGAAAAAAAAAAAAGTATAGAGTTTATAGGAATTAAGTCAATATATCAAAACTTTTGAGAAAAAGTAATTGATACTTTGTTCGTTATCTGTTAGTGGCTCACAGAGCTGACGAGGTACACCACGTCTTTCCACCTCTCTCCTGGAGCGATGACACTCCTCAAAAGTATGGCTCCCTGTGAGAGCCACTTTACTGAGTTGACACTGAGGGGGATCTTCCCTTGCCATCAGGTAGCCATGGGTCAACCGGCAATGTCCAATTCTGAGGCGTGTGATGACTACTTCCTCTCTTCTGCACTTCCTGGAGGACGAGGCCCAACAATTGACGGTCGGTTTGAGTATCCTCAGTTTATTATTCTCCAACGTGGTCCAGTTCTGTTGCCATTCGTTTAAAATCTTTATGTTTATTGGTTTCAATAAATCTGATGTTGAGATATAAGAGGGCGTTATTACTTCCAGTGAATAGGCTTCTGTTGCTGCTCTGTCCACTTCCTCATGTTTTTGTTTTTCTAACACACTCAATAGAAACGATAAGGAAGCCATATTGACCTACTTGGCAGAAGTTTGTATTTATTTAATTAAAAAAAAAATAAACAAGTCAATAGCCGTTATAGTTTGGGACATATTCCTCAAGTATGTTAGTATAAAGTAAATAATTCTATAATCAAGATAAGATATGTAGACAATAATTATTCAATGCTATTTATAGCAACACTTACGCATATGCCTCATCAAGAAGTTGGCGCTGAGGCGGAGAACCGAAGTCTTGTCGACTTTCTTGCCGGAGGAGGTGTACGGCACAACAAGGGATGCAAGCGTACTAATGGATTGGTTTAACTTGTCTCGCCTGTTCTTCTCTGCTTGGTTGCGCTGCTGGCGGCTTGAAGTGCTAAAATAAACAGATAATATATTAAATTAAAACATGTATAGTATAAGTAAGAGTAAACATTACATATTAATAAAATAAATAAATAAAATATTTAAAGGTCCGCTATAAATTTTAAAGAAATATTTTTTAGCTGATTAAAATACTTAAACTACATCGGAAAAACGACAAAAAATATAAGTGCTTAAAGCTCTAGAAAAATAAATATATAAAAAAAAATTAAAAGATCTAGACAATTACAATTAAAAGAATATTCTGAAGCAATTAAGCATTTAAAAAAGACAAAAAAAGTTATTGATAAGTAAACTCTTCATCAAGGATCTTTTTATATATGTGTGGGTATAATTGTTTTGATTATAAGGTTTTGATTTTGTTTTTTGTTGGTATCTTTCTTAATGTTTTTAGCCATCATATTTAAGATTATCTTCTCCAATGAATCTCTTAAATGAAGTGCCATTAGAAAACGACTTGTTTGATTTTTCTAAAAATAGTAAAAGATTACCCCCATTCTATCCTATATTAATTATTACAAATGCTGCATATTATTATCGAAACGACAATATTTGTTTCACTGTATTAAACATTGTTTATTTTCAATAGGCAAGGTCTTGGCCTCCATCCAGGAAAAAGAAGCGTCATGAATAGTGATCTATAATTTGTAACCTACAATAAATATTTACTGTTATTTGTATTTGAAAGAGCATTTGTAAATTAAGAATAATCGATTACAAAACGAACGAGTATTTATTATTTATAACCAGCTATTTCGTTACTGATGGTCCTCACTGTTTTGTTCTTTTTTTGTGTTGATATGTTCCATCATGTAAACATAATTTTTAGATATCTGGAACATGTCTATTCATTCGAATCTGATAAAAAAAAAAAAATTCACGTCAACCAATTCATCAAAATTGGTTCTTTAACGACTTAAACGGCTGGCTCCAATGATAATTATTACCAGTGAGGCCCGGTTGAGAAAGAGATGTTGGGATCTCCTACAGTCCTGTTTTGCTTCCTTTTGTCCAGTATGTAAATATTGTGTTTAGGCATGCTTGTATTTAATTTATTATTGTGATTACTTTAAGTTTTTGTTTTTATATCAGCTTTTTAGATGGCAGAATGACTAACTCCAATTTCAACACTTTTTATTACTAATTTTAGTGATATTTCTAGTGGGTAAATTTATACCTTTATTTATAGTTCTATATTTTATCACTGCAATCACCTACTCTAGAATCAAATTACTCACTGTTTATTACTGTTAAGAATTATCACTAAAAGGACTTTACTCACTAATTTTGAATTCGGAGTTAGTCATTCTGTCAACTGAAAGGCTGATATGTATACATTTATCTTTTATTTATTATACATATGATGTGAACGAAGTCTTGTATCACTATTTCTCATTATGTCGTTGGTTATGACAGAATGTAGTAAAATTCAATAAAGAAATTTAAAATTTAAAAATGCATATATGTCAGTGTTACGTTTTTGATTCTTGGTCTATTGATTATGGCATATAATCAATTATACTGGATTTAATTCAAAGTTGGCCAAAATAAACTCCTAAGGGTGACGCTCGAAATGTCAATCAAGTCAATTAGTATTAAAAGGGAAAAAAGTACAAGTACAAGTTGCGAATAAATGGATTTTAAAAGTTCATGTGGGAATAGACGGATATGAGTGGAAATAGGTCTCTAAGTGCAGTGATCGGGTCGGATAATGAGGACCTTTCAAACGTATCAGTTTGACGAGGTAGAATGTCAAAGTCCGAGAAACAGATGGGCAGGGACTGGTATTACCAGATCATTTAAATTGATTTGAATTGTAGCAGTTTAAATATATTTTTTTAGAGTTGTAAAAAATAATTGCATGGGAATGCATTGAACTCAGGAAGTTCTCTTGACATTAATTTCTTGACCGCTACATTAAGTCAGAGTAAAAAAAGGAAAATGTATAAATTTAAGACATTTTGAAAAAAATTCAAATCACGATTAACATATTTATTGACAAATAATTGTGGATGCACAGACGTATATTAACATAACTTTTGTAATGTAAGTTTTTAGTTTGTTTTAACTACTTTATTAATTAAATGAAAACATTAACATTCATATTAAATGTTGTTCAAAGTGAAGGTATGTCCGCAAATGCTTTGTTTAGAAGATGGATTAGATGGAATACTAATATGGCCTTTTATCCCTAAAAGTATTGGCAACATAAATCATAGCGTAATAACCAAGTTGTTGATCGCCTAGGACAACTCGTAACCTAACCTAACCTTGGCAACATAAGGATTAATTATATTTACTAGCACATTGCGGAAGAGGTCCACGACAACGGTTATAATTATCCCAATCAATGGATTGGCCGTGCTAGACCAGTGGCTTGGCCTGCACGCTTTCCAGACCTGACACCACTTTTTTGTTTGGGGTGACATTAAACAAAAAGTCTATGCAAGTGCGGTCAATGACCTTAATTCCTTACGAAGAAGCATAATTCAATCTTGTAAAACAATAACACATATCCAGTACTGCTGTTGAAGAAAGATGCCTGTCTTAATGCTCAAGGAAATCACTTTGAACAACATTTAATATGAATTTAATGTTTAATTTTAATTAATAAAGTAGATGGAACAAATAAATAAGTTTTATTTACTTAATATATAGTAAATAATTCATAAAATGGAAATCTTTAGGTGTGAATATCTCCTAAACAAAGCGTTTGCGGACATACCTTCATATGATTTTTTTCTTGTTTTGAGGCCCTTAATTCATATTTTCAGTTTGACCACTTAACCCTGAAACATCCAGTATAATGTATACTAATATTAACACATTTTTCAATGTCATATTTTAAAAAAATGATAATTTATATGGCGAAAAGCTCGAATGGTTTTAATTTCCTAATTGTTGTGATTTATAACTTGAAGAAGTGTACATTATTCTGTAGAGTTGAGCGTAATTATAATATCTTTAGTATGTTCAGGAAGGAATTAGAAAAATGCAGGAAGGTAATTTAATATCTGTGCGCAAGCATTTGCGCATTTGCATTCGAGCGCAGTCATACTTAATTACTTCACTATGCACAGTGAAAATAATATACCGACATCGATTGAATTTTTTTTTTTTCCTTCCTTGGTTGAGAATCTGATTACCATAAAGTTATCGTGCATATATTCAACAATAAACCGTAAAAAATAATAGGTGCGAATAATTTGCATGGGATATTGTTGTGAGCGAATGGAGATAAGTAAATACAAAAAAACATAATGAAAGAAAGAATTTTGTAACATTTGTTCCTACTTTTCCGGAGAATATGTATGTACACTCATTTTATATAAAATAGGAATGTTTTTTATGTTCATGTTCATCTATCATCATTCAATTTGTGAAGCTTTAACGAGGATATTGCATATCCTCATTATGCGAAAAAAAAATCTGAGAAATAGTATGCAAAGAAGCTTTAGGAATAATGTGTTCTTTTCTGCTTGTAGATGAATATTTAAAAAGATATATTTAATGCATCTACGGTTGCATTTTATGCTGTATCAAGTAAGATTGATAAAAAATCTTTGAGAAATTATATATAAAAATAACAAAGTGCTAGTTGTGTAATGAAATTACTTAAAATAACAAAATTCAATCAAACATAACTCAGAACATTATACAACTCAGGTCGAGTAGAAGTTTAAATTAAACCTCACAACTGTTACCAAATTGAGTTCTGCTGATGCAAAACCAAATCCAAATCACCCTTCTAAGAATAATATATTTCATTGTAAATAGGTGATGGTTTATGTATTTAATTAATTTAAAATTCTCACGTTCCTGAACATTTTTGATGCAATAATAATAAGGACATGTTCACTTCTATTAGCATATTTCAATGCATTTTCTTTTTTAAAGGAGGTTTAACAATAAATTGAATGCCTAAAATAAAATGGAGTATTACAATGAAATACAAACGATAAGTTTGTGATGTTCAGAACACTTTATCTAAGAAGAAAAGCAACTCTAATTTCTGCCACGAAGACATAACAATTATTTATGGAAATAATCTTACCAAAGTGAATAAGTGAAGATTATGAAGAATTTTGATGGCTATTAAAATGGGATATTTTTAAACCAAAGGCGTTTAAAGCACTTTGAATTCAGTGATAGGCCATGTGGCTTACGGCCAAGTGCAGCATGCGCCTATGCAATGGCTAAGAATACAACGGGTGTATATTCACTGCAACATATCAAGAAGCTGAAAAAACAAGTATAAATCAGATACATATTTTAGGCGTTTTCTTGATTTTAATGTTTTAAACGGCAGAGCTATAAGTTTATCTAACAATATAATGGATATTACAAACTGACAAGGAATTTGTTTTAAATATTTAATTTTAATATCAACATGTAACCTATTTATATGACTATCTTTACATGGATCGCATCTTTTTTTCTTAGACCCATTAATGTGTTATTTAAATTTTAATAATTTAACTTTGTCGGAAAGAATTATTTTTACTGACTGTATTGATGTTATGCCTTAAAAGCGAGTTATGAGGAGTTAAATTGATGAAAATTAGTATGTGATAAATCAATTTCATTTCATAAAAGCATACTGCATGATTTACAAGTTAATTTAAAGTTTGGAGATGAAGTATGTCTTGGGTTATTATATGTCACTAATAAAATTAATAATTACAATATAAAAGTATTTAAATAGTAATAGACATTATATAAATCAAATGAAAGAAAAATAACATGAAGAACTCAATAAATAATTAATATAAAAATATTTTCAAATTAAATACATCAAATATATATTGTACATGTTAAATATATACCACAGAAACCAACAATTTGTTTTCAATATATACGTTTTAAATCATAAAAGTAAGTGAAGAAAACATATAAACGAAAGAACACTATTTATAGAGTTTAAAGTTTATTTAACAATAACAACAATTTGGTGCGACCACATGGCGATATCTATCGGTTGGTGTCATTAAT